TATCGCGCGATTGAAACGAGTAATCAGGTATGTAATCTAATTCAAAAATGTTGATACAATATTCAATCATGGGGAAAGTTTCGCAGCACGAGCAAAGCTAAATAGCTTACACGGAGGAAACTTAATTAGACGCCTATAGGGACCCATAACGCAACGTAGGAGAATTTCCCGAACGCTAATAGCATCGGAAAGGGTTAAATTCTTGTTTCGGATTAATTTTCCTGTTTCGATTACTCCGCAAATTCTGCTCGACAAATTTTACGGATCGCCTGGAAATATGTGTCTACAATTTATTCCTAATGCAGGATTAATCGATTCTATTGCAGTACGAGGTAATTGAAACTAGATTATTATTACACAATGTCCGTAATTAATTTAGTTGCCAGGTGAACTGTAACTGATACTATTAAATCCTGTTGCTATTTTCTAATACGGAATATCAGTGTTTCCTGTCTAGGCTAAAATTATTTATTCTTATTATTTTTATTTAATATCGTTTTATTCGTTGGAGATTTATTGCTGAGAATTTATAAGTCATTTTTTAGTAGGATTTATAAATATATTGTTTATTGTTCGATAAATTTATTAAAGATCAAGGGTGAATAGGTAGGTTCAACTTGGGAAACCAATATGGCCGACATGCGCAGTACATTCAAGAGTGTATAATAAGTCTCTAAAGATTTATTCTTTATACAAAATTTATTGGAGAGAATTTATAAGTATATTGTTCATTATAGCTCTTTAATATGATTTATAAATATAATGTTTATGCTGTTCTATAAATTTATCGCTTAAAGATGAGTTAAGGATGAATAAACAGCTTAAACTTGTGAAACCAATATGGCCGACATGCGCAGTACACTCAAGAGTGTATAATAAGTCTCTAAAGATATTTTCTTTAAACAAAGTTTATTGCTGAAAATTTATAAGTATACTGTTCATTATAGCTTCTTAATATGATTCATAAATATAATGTTTATGCTGTTCTATAAATTTATCGCTTAAAGATGAGTTAAGGATGAATAAACAGCTTAAACTTGTGAAACCAATATGGCGTCGACGTGCGCAGTACAGTCAAGAGTGTATAATAAGTCCCTAAAGATTTATTCTTTAAACAAAATTTATTGGAGAGAATTTATAAGTATATTCTTCATTATAGCTCTTTAATATGATTTATAAATATATTGTTTATGCTGTTCTATAAATTTATGGCTTAAAGATGAGTTAAAGATGAACAGACAGGTTAAACTTGTGAAACCAATATGGCGTCAACATGTGCAGTACACTTCGGAGCGTACAGTAAATCTTTAAAGATTTATTCTTCAAACAAAGTTTATTGCTAAAAATTTATAAGTATATTGTTCATTATAGCTCTCTAATATGATTTATAAATATATTGTTTATGCTGTTCTATTAATTTATCGCTTAGAAATGAATTAAATATGAATAGATAAGTTAAACTTAAGAAACCAATATGGCGTCCATGGAAGGCGCATGCGCAGTAGCTCGGGAATACAGCTTACAAAGTTCAGAAAAGAATCTTCACAAATTCAGAAATTTAGTATTTCGGAACTGGGTTATTCGAGGATTTGAGGATTTGGAAGTTGGAGAGTTTGAAAGTTTATGAATTTAACAATTTAGGAATTCGGGAAATTGGAAATGTGTAAAAGTGTGAACTTACCAATCTTGGAATATGTGAAGGTAGAATTTGAGAATGTATCGATGTGTGATTCGACTATGAAATTTAGAAATGTGAATGTGGAATTACTGCACGAATAAGTGAATATGAGAATGTGTGGATGTGTGAACAGGAGAATATGTGATTTGACAATGTGTGAATATATGAACACCAGAATGAGGAATTAAGGCCGCGAGATGGTAATGTGACGGTAGTAAATATTCGCTCTCGCAAAATGTCACATTAATATAACAAAGTAGCGACACACAGGCAAGATAATGAACTACCCGCACAATAGCGTAGCAAAGGAATAAACGTAACAGCGCCCGCAGCAGTAGCACATTAATCGAAGATCGGTGCCTTTAAGATGGCAAGCGTTCCCTCAGTGAATACAGTTGATTCTCAGATAAGTTGGCAATAAAAACTTGCACGCTATCAGTGCTACTTTTCTGGCAGCGTAAATAGGGAATTTCATAGTCGTCTATCCGGGAACCTCCCGTTCTATCATCCTCACAATTCCTCTTATTAAGTTCTCCGAGCGGCTCATATACGGGCGTCGTCGTATCGCTGTGAACCCGTTAACCCAGACTGGAGATCGTTTCACTCGAAACGCGCCCTATATTCAGGCAACGTAAACGCGCTCGTCGCAAGAAGCGGCGTCACTTTTTCATCGGTCCCGCTAAATCCCCCTAAACCCGGGTTACACCTCCGGCAAAGCGTGCTGCCTTGTTGTGTACCGGTTAGCGCCGGCCAACTTCCCGTGGCGGCCTCGAATAAATCGCTCTGTGCCGCGGAGTTCCGCGGTAACTGCTGTTACACACGGCGAGTTACGAGAACGCGTAAAGGTCCATTTACACACGACCGTGCCGTTACGTACCCCTACACCTACTCCCACTTCGTGTTTATTCCACGAGGTATAGCTTGCGGTCTCTTTGGTCACGTGCAATTTACCCCTTTCTTCATCTGTGGACGAAAAGGGCAATCTTTTATTGTCGTTTTATGGACTACCTACGGTTTTAGGCTACGCTCGCTTCAAAGTTAGATTAGGTTCTCTTATAGATTCTTTACTAGTTTTTGTAGGATTTGGCGGGATTTTACTGTATTGTGGGTTAGGTTTTTATTGGGTTTCTAGTTTTTATAGGGTTCGGTTCACAGTAGATTTCGGTTGGATTTCTATTAAATTTTTATTGGGTTTCTAGTTTTTATAGGGTTTGGCTCACAGTAGATTTCGGCTGGATTTCTACTAAATTTTTATTGGGTTTCTAGTTTTTATAGGGTGCGACGCCTAGTAGATTTCGGCTGGATTTCTACTAAATTTTTGTTATGTTTATAGCAGACTTTTACTAGGTGTTTAATTGACTTTTAGTGGAATTCTATTTTTAGTTCCGTCAGATTTCTACTAGATTTGCTGGAAGTCTATCAGATTTCTAGTAACGTCTTACTAGTTTGCGTGGACAAACCATAGGTTTCCAGCCAACATTTCTCAAGTTCGCCGTAGTTTCCATATAATACTTCCCTTGGGTTTCATGTAGAACCTAAGTTCTCCGCAGATGCGATCTACAGAGAAGATAGATTTTCCATAGATCTATGTCAGGTTCCACATTCGTGAAGTCACAAAGTACCAAAATTCCAGAAATAAAAAAATTTCAAATTTTACAAGTCTAAATGTCCCTAGGGCCATAGTCTAAAAGTTCCTAGGGCCCAAAGTTCCATGGTTTGAAAATCCCTAGGCCCAAAATCTCCGTATCCTGAAAATCCCTAGGTCCCAAGCTATTTCATAGCATCCCTAATTCCCCAAACCTCCATGTCTAATCTTGAAAATCCCAAAATCCAAGCCCCAAAATTCCAAAGTTCTAAGTACCAAAATCCCAAAGCCACCAAATCCCCAAATCCTCAAATCCCCAAATTCCCAAATCCCCAAATCTTCAAATCCCCAAATCCCCAAATCCCCAAATCCCCAAATCCCCAAATCCCCAAATCCCCAAATCCCCAAATCCCCAAATCCCCAAATCCCCAAATCCCCAAATCCCCAAATCCCCAAATCCCCAAATCCCCAAATCCCCAAATCCCCAAATCCCCAAATCCCCAAATCCCCAAATCCCCAAATCCCCAAATCCCCAAATCCCCAAATCCCCAAATCCCCAAATCCCCAAATCCCCAAATCCCCAAATCCCCAAATCCCCAAATCCCCAAATCCCCAAATCCCCAAATCCCCAAATCCCCAAATCCCCAAATCCCCAAATCCCCAAATCCCCAAATCCCCAAATCCCCAAATCCCCAAATCCCCAAATCCCCAAATCCCCAAATCCCCAAATCCCCAAATCCCCAAATCCCCAAATCCCCAAATCCCCAAATCCCCAAATCCCCAAATCCCCAAATCCCCAAATCCCCAAATCCCCAAATCCCCAAATCCCCAAATCCCCAAATCCCCAAATCCCCAAATCCCCAAATCCCCAAATCCCCAAATCCCCAAATCCCCAAATCCCCAAATCCCCAAATCCCCAAATCCCCAAATCCCCAAATCCCCAAATCCCCAAATCCCCAAATCCCCAAATCCCCAAATCCCCAAATCCCCAAATCCCCAAATCCCCAAATCCCCAAATCCCCAAATCCCCAAATCCCCAAATCCCCAAATCCCCAAATCCCCAAATCCCCAAATCCCCAAATCCCCAAATCCCCAAATCCCCAAATCCCCAAAATCCCAAAATCCCCAAATCCTCAAATCCTCAAATTCTCAAATCCTCAAATCCCTAAATCCCCAAATTCCCAAATCCCCAAATCCCTACATTCAAAAATTTCTAAATTTTGTCTACTCTACACTTCTACCAAACACCCCCACGAGGTCCCTGACCGCATCTTTCATTCCCTTCGCCAACAACCCGTCTACTACCCCGAAAAATACGCGTATTAACAAATCTATCATCCCCGAGTCGTACTGCGAACCGAAAGGGTTAATGTCATTCGCAAACTGCGGCAAAAGGGCGGCAAACTGGTGCAGCTACGTTCGCTTGCCAGGTTGGCCAGCGTTCGCAGCCGAGAGTGACACCCGATGCCACGAGCAATCGATATCACGAAGAAGGAGGTACTCATCGTTGGTCCAGCGTTAGGTTCTTCTTGTTTCGACGTTCGTTTGCATGCCGACGAAACAATGCGACCCGTCCTTTGTCTTCCGGTCGATTGATCGATGCTTGCGGTCGTCCGTTGTTCCTTTTTTTTTGTAGTTTTTTTTATTCCGTGCATGCCAATCCGTGCCCGGTGATAAATCCCTGGTAGATTCATCGAGGAAGATGAAGGACGACTTGTATACGGTTCTCTGTTGCAGAAAGCCGAGAGCAACGCGACCCAGGTGAAGCTGATGAACCTGGAGCTGGACGCAGCTGGATTGTACAGCTGCGAGGTGTCCGCGGATGCGCCTTCCTTCCACACGGCCATTGTTGACGCCACTATGTATGTTGTCGGTAAGAAACACTCTTTATTTATCATATACAACTTCCTTGGATCATGGGAGTTGCAGCTAAATGCAACGTCAGTAATCCGAGTTGGCTAGTTACATTCAGACATGGTGTTATGGCTGTTTGTTGGTTTGCATAAGAGCAGATAATTTGGATATTACGTGACTTGGATATGACTTTGGATGTTATATTGAAATGACAGCTTTTGACCATTGAACAACGTTGCTGCTGTTGAAGCTTGAAACTAGAGATTGTACATATATGTACATGTATACATGCATACATGTTGGATATTATGATTTGAATATGACTTTGGATATTATATTGAAATGACAGATTTTGACCATTGAACTACGTTGTTGCTGTTGAAGCTTGAAACTAGAGATTCTACATATGTGTACATGTGTGGATGTATACATGTTGGATATTGTATGACTTCAATATGACTTTGGATGTTATATTGAAGTGATAACTTTTGACCATTGAACATTGCTGTTGCTGTTGAACCTTGAAACTAGAGATTCACATATGTGTACATGTATACATGTACACATGTTGGATATTATGACTTGAATATGACTTTGGATATTATATTGAAATGACAGCTTTTGACCATTGAACAACGTTGCTGTTGTTGAACTTTGAAACTAGAGATTCTACATATGTGCACATGTATACATGTACACATGTTGGATATTATATGACTTGAATATGACTTTGGATATTATATTGAAATGACAGCTTTTGACCATTGAACGCTGCTGTTGCTGTTGAACCTTGAATCTAAAGATTCTACATATGAATACATGTATGGATGTACACATATGTATACATGTATGATTGCTTGAAAATAGCTTCTATACCCCTTCTTGAAACTAGATCTCCAAGTTCAGATGATCAAAAGTTCTCGGATATCCAAATTCTCTACAGGCAAACTTCACCATTCTCAAGTCTATCCTTCCTCAACTACTCAACATGTTCTCATTTCATAAATATGATAAATTCAAAAATTTCTCAACGAACAACACAGTGTTTCCCCAAAATATCTCCAACCTCCCAGCACCTATGACAATCGATCATCTACTATCTACAAACACACACACACGCGTGTCAGAAGTGGCATAGTCTCTTGTTAGCTTTCAGAGGCAATCTTCTGCACTGTAGAGGAGGCTGAATGTCACGCAGCAGTCGGCCGACAGTGTTAGCTTGCAGGCGTTTTCGAACTGCGAATTAATGCCAGCCGCCGGCTCGGTGGACTTAAGAGCTTAGGCGAATCGCTGTGGACCGAGCCGAAGATAATACTGCGGGTATACGCGGCGGAATGAACCGGAATTAGGTGTCTTAGGTGCACAGGGTTTCCACCTTTTGCTCCATTTTTATCCCGATCGAACTCTCGACATTTTATTTCGGATATTTCGTTTGCTTTTTTAGACCACCGGCAAGATGGAGCGGCCACGCGATCATAAAGTAGATTCCTCCTTTTTTACGTCCCTGGATGATAAATTACCTGGGTCATTAGGCGAAATATTCTTTTAGATACTTGGGAATTTATTAATTTATTGCGTAACCGGTAATTTTGTCGCGGTGGATAATGGAAGGATTGTTAGGTTAGGTGTAGCTTGTTTGATTTGTACGAAATTAATTATTTTCGTGTGTAGTCATTTTAATAATATTTCTGTTTGTTTATAGTTCTGTTATAGCTGTTATCTCTGTTTGTTTATAGTTGTTATTTCTATTTCATTTATATTTCTGTTATATTTGTTATGTTTATCTTTTTGGGTGTGTGTGTTGTATTGAGAGGTTAAGGTCAGTTAAAGTTTGATTAATGGTGAGGTTATGTCATAGTTAGGTTAGGTTGGTTACGTTGTTATGTTTGATGAGTCAGACTATTTTTAGACTTCATAAATAATACATTAACACAGTAACATAACAGTATGTTAATAACACAGTAAAATATATTAAGTACAAAATTATTTTCGTCGTTCTTGATCAATGATATAAAAGTGATGGGAAAACCATAAAAGATGGCGGATGAAAGATAAGTAAAAGCTAATAGATAAAGGATAAATGTTTTATGGAACAAACATGACAGATGAAAGATGAATACCTAATTGTGTCTGACATTCGTAATAACAAAAATTGATAAAAATTGCGAAGTAAAATTGATACGTACTCTGTTGATCAACGAAATAGAGATTTAAATTGAAGCAATTATAGATAGAATATAGCCGTATTTCATCGCGATCAGTTATCGATAGCGTATCCCATAAATAAAGTATGGAGAAATGGAGTTTGTTAGAGCGAAATGTCCACTTTCGCGTAATTACCATTTGAATGAATTGCGCAGCGTCGAACAATGAGAATTTGAATTTCGGTGTACACCGTGTAACGTGTCAAATTTGAGGCCATCTGTTTATGCGCATGTTAAACACGGGATAATCAAAAGGCTAGTTAAATTATAATATTATTCTATCGGTTCTATATACATTCGATTACCATTTGTTTGAATAAAACATCGGATGACAAAATCATGAATTTACAGAAATTCTAGATAATTCACTTTACATTGTGTCACGCGTTTATATCATCATAGATTAACGAATTACCTACACGATCAATTTTGTGACGTAAAGTGCTCGTTGAATGCATAAGTTTTCTTTCATGAACAATATTATTTTAACAAAATATTACATGTTTAAATTAGTATCATTTTCATATTGATCAATAAAAATGTAACAATAAAATTGCAGAATATTAATAATAAAATATAACAAGAAGAATAAGAGAATATTAACAATAAAATATAACAAAAAAATAGGAAAGTATTAATAATAAAATATAACAAAAAAAAATAGCAGAATAATAATAATAAAATATAACAAAAAAAAAAAATAGGAGAACATTAATAACAAAATATAACAAAAAAAAATTGCAGAATATTAATAATAAAATATAACAAAAAAATGTAGCAGAATATTAATAACAAAATATAACAAAAAAATTGCAGAATATTAATAATTAAATATAACAAAAAAAAAAATAGCAGAATATTAATAATAAAATATAACAAAAAAAAAAAATGGCAGAATATTAATAACAAAAAAATATCAGAATATTAATAATAAAATATAATGAAAAAAATAGCAGAATATTAACAATATTTTCCTCGTTAAAAAATCGATGTGTCATACAAGTAAACAGGTTCGCGGTTTCCGTACTTGAAGAATAATAGAAAGGGGATTGCATTATACATCGAATACAATTAAAGCGATCGTCGAAGGTAATTTAATTACCATTTTATTGTAACCCAATTAACGTAACTGCCGTTTGTTTACGCAGTAAGCGTTCAAGCAACGAAATCTCCGAGAATAATAGATCATTAGAATTTGAAATTGTACCTTTTGTCGGATCTGCAACTTTGCCAAAAGACGCGATTAAAATATCAACGTAAGCGACGTTTAGAATAAAAGGGAATTCAAGCATAATATGTTTTTAATGCAACTAGAATAACGGTATGGATTGTAAATTTGTAAGAGGGTCTTTCTCATTGTTATATACAGAATAGACGTCGGGCAAAAAGACGGGGTATAGCCATTTTGCAGTATCCATTCTCGGGTAATTGCCGTTTGTTCGGCTAGAATAATGCTTTAATGAGCACTTTATGGGGCCGTTAAATTCCTCGTCTCTATATTTCGCGTAGATTAAACAAAATTTATAAAGTGTCGCGACAAATTTTTTCCCCGTTCAATTATCTAACTCTCGAGATAATAATACATGACAAGTAAAATGAGTTAATAAAGATTTCCCTCTATTTTTGAATCCAAACAAAAATTGCTAGTTTAACGAATAGCACAATTTGTTTCGTTAGAGGTATGTTTTAATGATCGTTTAAAGCCATCGCTACTTAGGACATTTTCAATTAGACTCCTTTATTTATATATATTATATATTGTATACTGCTCTACAGCTAAATATATCATATCTAGTACTGATTTTTTTCTGTGCTAAAGATTAACGAATAGCAGAATTTATTTCGTTAGAATTATATTTTAATGATCGTTTAGAGCCATCGCTACTTAGGACATTTTCAATTGGACTGCTTTATTTATATATGTATTATATATTGTATAGTGTTCTACAACTAAATACATTATGTCTAGTACTGATTTGGATTTAATGATTTTTTGCTATGCTAAAGATTAACGAATAGAAAAAATTGTTTCGTTAGAATTATATTTTAATCATCGTTTAGAGTCATCGCTATTTAGGACATTTTCAATTGGACTGCTTTATTTATATATATATTATATATTGTATAAATATATCATGTCTAGTACTAATTTGAATTTAATGATTCTTTGCTATGCTAAAGATTAACGAATAGAAAAAATTGTTTCATTAGAATTATATTTTAATGTTCGTTTAAAGCCATTGCTACTTAGCGCATTTTCAATTAGACTGCTTTATTTATATATATATTATATATTGTATAGTGTTCTACAACTAAATACATTATGTCTAGTACTGATTTGGATTTAATGATTTTTTGCTATGCTAAAGATTAACGAATAGAAAAAATTGTTTCGTTAGAATTATATTTTAATGTTTGTTTAAAGCCATCGCTACTTAGGACATTTTCCAGTAGACTGTTTTATTTATATATATATTATATATAGTACATACTGCTCCAATAGTGAAGATATTATATTTAGTATCGATTAAAATTTCATGATTTTTTTTCTGTAAAAGATTTTCAAAAGATTGCACGAAAATTAGAAAAGATAATTGAAAGGTTAATAGAGGGAGGCTGAAACGGTACAAACTATTACGGTGCACAAAAGTGATTATTTAGACGAGAACATGGCTAATGAACCGCAACATTCTGGCCGTATAATAAGGAGCAGAACATTCCAGCTTTACGAGAAGCTTTGTGCAGGAATTATTGAATTTTCGTAAAGTAATCTGTTTTCGATTCATTAAGGGACGGGTCTCGAATTTACGATCGA